GAGTAATTACACACCACAAAAAATACTCAGAATGATTTTTGGCTATAAACGTAATATATTCAAACTTGCCATATAAACGTATTAGAATCAACTTGGGCTATCATGATTGTGTTATTGTCTTTCTGTTTATTTAATTCATACAAGTCTCTGGAGAACATATGGCGGGGAACCACCAACCTGGCTAACCTGCGTATAGTGTTTAAACAGGAACTCTGATCCAGAGCTTCAAACAAACTTTACAGGAACATTTGACTCTTTTAAATCACATAATTTATCAACATAGAACCCATTACATCTCGCCTCAATGGCATTAAAAGTGACATACGTGTCTTAATTCCGATCGTATTTATCTTTTAATAGATTTGCGGGACTTTACGTCCGCCACCTTGGATTACCTCTCGCTTCTGCTTGAGGAAGCTTGAGAAGGCAGAGCAAAACCCCCCCGTAACACCGCAATCCTGATCTGGTCGATTAAAAAACTAATTGGGAAGGCGTTCTCCATGGCGTGCGTTACCAGACACTGTGGTTCAGCCTAAGACGCTCTGGTGGAGCATGGCCGGAACTACTAGGGTTTTGGCAGAGCCAGGGCTACTAGACAATGCCATTTTATGGAGAATTTTCAAAAATGTGCATGTGGGCGCGTAAGGCTGGTCACTGTGTTTAGTCGCTCTTAAAAGGCGCTTTACCCGTTTCTGCAAGGTTTGAATGGTTAGCACCGTCCCACCCAAATCATCATCAGACTCCACTTTTCTGGTGGTTCTCGGGGGTAGAGGCGGCGTGACTGGGGTGGCAATTCTCATTGACCCCCCATCTCAGCCGCCACAGTGGTGGGTTCTCCCGGGGAATGAGTGCGGTAACGGGGATATCGGCATTATAAAGGTACCGAATACGTGGTCTGAGAGAGGCCAGCCAGGCTTTTGCAGTTATCTCTCTGCTCATGAACCAGCGTGTTTTGGAAATCCAAGCTATGAAAAAAAGATATGTGTCAGTCTGTAAATCACAGCAAAAGAAAATAGTATTATATTTTTTTTTTTATGCAATTTACAAAATAACAAGTACTGTAAAATAAGTCAGAATAGTTAACCTTGAATCTGGATGGCATCTAGACATTACTGGTTATTGGTGTGTGTTTTCATAGTTATTTTTACTGACTGTGTCTTGTGAGGACCGGGTCATATCTAATGTAGTATCCCCGTAGCAGCTCCCCGCTGTGAACTTACGGCTGCGGTGCTCCCCCTTGGTGCTTGGGTCGAGCTTTTTTTTATTTGACACTAAATGGTGTTATAAATGTATAATGTATGTCCTATTATGCAATTATGGTGTCAGAACTTGAGGCGGTTAGTAGTTAGCGTTAGCTCCACTGTTCACCACTACAACAGCAGCTTAATTCGTCTTCATTGATGAAATATGTTTTTCTCATTCAACCTATAAAGGCGTAAAATATAGTTAAAATAGTTGTCACTAGAAAATAAGAGCATACGATACCCGTAAAATGCTCGTGTGCCGGTTTTCTTCTGTCGCCCTGTTTTGACTAATTGGAGAATTAACTTCCTGTCCTACGGGCTCGCGCATTCGACTTGGGGTAGTCCAAGTGCAAGGCATAAATTAGTCCAAAAAGGGACACTGAAAGGCCTGTGGCAGGTTGGCCAGCTCCTCCATACGACACTCCCTTCCAAGACGATGCTCACTCTGGATGGGTTGAGTTGGAGGATGTTCGTCAATGCAGAGGATTCCCACTGAAGTTTAACTGTACTAAGTCCCTTGTCAGTTGCATCCTTAAAGAAAAGAAACGGACAATGAGACTGACATTGTAATGTCAATAATGCTGTGTTGACCACAAAATTGAGAGAGGACAACACCAATTTTATATCGCATAATTGAAACTGTGCAATTACAAGAGCGTTTGAAAACCTGTGTGCTGATATGGCTTTTGTTGCCGCAGAGATGGAGAGCCTTTGTCGAGTCCCAGCAAGCTGGAAAAGTTGTGTAAAAACAATTCCAGTACTGATATGCAAGGGTTTCTATGCACAGATCCACTACTTCCCTGAACTTAATGCTGTCCTTTGTTTTCCTGTCTTACATTATTGGACAAACTGATTAATCCAGGTGTATGACCCCTGGTGACTACTCAGGACAACACCTGGATTATTATCTTTGGGTCCAATAATCGTAAAGGACAGGAAACAAGAGGAGCAGCCATTAAGTTCAGGAAAGTTGTGGATCGTGCATAGAACCCATTGCATCTGTTACTGGAAATTGTGTGTTACAAAACTTTTCAGGGCTTGATGGGACTGACCAAAGCTCTCCATCTCTGCTGAGTACTAAAACCTTTCAGCACACAGGTTTTCAAACGCTTTGTAATGCACAGTTCAATTATGCGATTTAAATTTGGTGTTGTCTCTTCAATGTTTTCGCTGGTCAACACAGCAATTATTGTCGCATTTACTATGCATGTTCTTTGTCCGTTTCTTTTTCTGTTAGGATGCTAATGGACAAGGACGTGTACAGTGAAACTTCATGGGATCCTCTGCATTGACGATCATCCTCAACTCATATATACCCATCCAGAGTGAGCTTCGTCTTGGAAGGGGAGTGTGGTAAGGGAGGAGCTGGTCCCAACCTGCACAGCTTTTTGTGTCCTTTTTGGACTAATTTTGCATTGCATTGGACTACCCACGGTCGTGGCGCGGAGCCTGTAGGACAGGAAGTGATTTTCTCCAATTAGTTAAAACAGGGCGACAGAGAAAACGGCTCATCGGCGCATTTTTACGGGTTTGTTATGATCTTTATTCTATGTGACACTATTTTATATAGTAGTGTACGCCTTGTATTAGGTTGAATGAGATAAACATTTTCATCTAATGAAGACGATTAAGATGATGTTGTTGTGGTGACAAGTGGAGGCTTAACGCTAATAGGCTATCCACGCCAGTCAAGTTCTGATCCCGATAATTTGCATAAATGAGGTCTATCATTTTCTTTTGAACAACTTTGTGTCAAATAAAATAAAAAGCTAGGTCCAAGCTCTCGGGGAGCTCCGCAGCCGTTAGAGTTCACAGCCGGGGAGATGCAACGGGGGATTCTACTTTAGATATGACCCGGTCCTCTCATGTCATCAGTCGTGTTAAAATAACTTTGAAATCTCCCCTCCTTTTATCATAATGACTAGTTGCACATCCAGATTTCAAGGATGAGGTAAATTCTGATTATTTTACATAGCTGTTATTGGTATTTGCCATAAAAAAAAAATATTTTTCTTTTTGCTGTTGTTTCTGACTGTCACATATCATTGTTTCATTCTTGGTATTTCATAACACGCTGTTCATGGAGCAGTGTGATTACTGCTAATAGCCTGGCTGGCCTCTTCAGTACGTTTTCTGGAGCCTTTATAATTGCCGGTATCCCGTACCTCCTCTCATGCACCGGGGAGAACTCCAAAACGTGGCTCGGCTTGAGATGGGGGGCTATGAGAATGGCCACCCCAGCTGCCGCCTCTCCCGCGTGATATCACCAGAAAAGTGGTAGTCTGTGAATGGAGTTTGGGGGGGCGGTGGCTAACATTATATCCTTGCAGAATAGGGTGTTTTATAGCGCCTTTTAAAGATGCGTCCCTAAACCCGTGTGACCAGGCCTACTTGGCCCAAATATGCACATTTGAAATATTCTCCCTTAAGGGCATTGGTCTGAGTAGCCTGGCTCTGCCAGTCCCTTGTAGTTCAGCATGCTCCACAGAGGAGTTTGGCTGTAACCACATGGGTTGTATCGTCGCCTCATGGGCGATCGCTTCACCTGATTATTTTTGTTAATCGACCATTCTGGAGTTGCCGGTGTTACTGTTACGTGGGGTTTGCTCTGCCTTTCAAGCTTCTTCATGCATGAAGCGTGAGGAATCAAGTGGCGGACGTAAAGTCCGCAATCTTTTTAAAGAGTTAATACGATCGAATTAAGACACGGATGTCCTCTTTTTATGCAATTTGAGGCGAGATGTCGATGGTTCTATGTTGATAAATTATTGTGTTGTAGAGTACAAATGTCTCCTGTAATGTTTGGTTGATGCTCTGGTTCTGTGTTCCTGTTTACACACTATTCAGCAGGGTTGCCAGGTCTTGGTGGTGTCCCGCATATGTTCTTCCAGGAGACTTGTTGGATTAGATAAAACAGGAAAGACAATAAACACATTCATGATGCCAAGTTGATTATATTACGTTTAGATGTCCAAGTTGATTATATTAAGTTTATAGCAAAAAATCATTATGAGTGTTTTTTTTGGTGTCTCGCATTGGTTTTGTGTGTATTGTCTCGCAGATTTTTTTTTCTGGGTTGGAAATCTTGCTGGGATTTGGCAACATATTGGGAGCCGTCGTGCATTGGACGGGTTGTGAGTGGTTGAAAGCAGGACTTCATTAAGATAACGGGGACAAGTGGTCTATCACTTCACATACAAAGATTAGTTTTACAAGGCCCCTCCTTCTGAAATCCCAACACCACTATGGCTGTGTACCAAAACGCTAGGATCTGTCCGCCGTTGGGGTGGATATGTAGGCTTGTGACGTCACTTCCTCATGCGACGGTTTTATGGACACCCTGCAATAGCCCTGCAAATTGCATCGTGACTTTGGTCTATATGGGAAAACGGCCACTTTTTGAGCAGAATTGAAGGATGCATCGGATGTATGCTTCACTGCCTTACCCGAGTTTCGCAGGGTTTCAATTCTTCAGTTTTGTGGCACAGCAGCAGCTCATGTCACATTTAGTGTTTAAATGCAAGTTATATTTCATCTTTTAGTATTCTTACTTGAACTATAACATTATCAAAGAAATAGTATTTGATTTTTAACGTAGATAGCGGCTATTTCATTTGTGTTTTCTTCTATGTGGCATATGATAGCTTATGTTGTAACTGTAAAATTTGCATTGTCACAGTTAGTTATATTTTATTCCTTTATGTAGTTTTAACGTTTTAATTTTGTTCATAGGGTAACGAAGGAGATTGACGGGAGATGGTTCATAAGAGTGCGGGCGTGAGAACGACGTCACCTCTTTACTGGGGCGATGTTCTCCCCAGCACGGCCGTGTAGGTAGAGTCTGTGTGAGAAATGTCACTGTTTAGCGTTGCTTAATGTTAGTTATCTGGATTGACTTTAGGACTGCATATTTTTGTTTTAATGTGTGTTTAATACTTAATATATACATAAAAAGGTTTAGAAAATGCTGGTGCTTTCTCATACATTCAGTCCGTTCTTTATTAAAAATGAATTTCATTCATAACATAAAGAACAAAATAAAAGGAGAAACATAACGTTTGTTGTTTTTCTGCATGAACACAGTATCAAATAATTTCAGGAATTCTCTAAAACTTAAAGAAGTTATTCTGTTCTTTATTTTAATGTTTCTGTCTTTTCTCTAGGACTAATCCTGAAAAGCTAGAACTGCAGGAGGTGGTCAGCCCTGGCAGGCCTGTAAGAAGTGGAACATCTTGAATAAAAGTATAAAGTATGATAAATCAATCGTGTTTTTTGTGAGTTTGTCTGCGTGGGCGTGCTCTGCTTGGATGTGTGAGTGTGTCAGCTAGTGTGTGAGTGTGTCTGCCGGGTGTGTGAGTTTTGTTCTGATTGTGTGTGAGTGTCAGCGCGTGCGTGTTGTGGTTCTGCGTGTAGGCTCTTGTGTGTGCGTGTGTCGGCGTATCAGTTCTTTCTGTGTGTGAGTTTGTCAGTGTCTGCGTGTGTGTGAGAGTTTGTCTGCCTTTGCCGAAATGAGCGCATCATGACTCACTTTATTTCTTGTGTTTATAGGGACTGTAATGCCCTGGAACAGGCCAGGGCGTGGTTGGGGACCCCACTGCTGGGACTTGGCTCCTGTTTGGCTCATGGTTGAGGTGTTGGGCAGTTGCGTCATTCAAAACCTCACTGTTCCTAATCGCCCTCAATCCCTGATGCCAGACCAGGGCCAAGCCAGGCAGAGAGCAGGAGACGGAAGGCTGGAGGAGGAGGAGCCTAGGCGTCGTAGGAGCAGCAGAGAGGAAACGAGAACGGAAGAGGCGAGGTGTGGTGGGAGCTGACAGGGTGGATTGTGGATGCTGAGGGAGGAGGTGAGCGGCGGGAAAAGGAGAGGTGTTGACAATTTTTGTCAGGTGTTTGGTCCTCGAAAAGTTAATTACATATATAAACAAATTAAAATAACTATTTTTGTAATGATTTTCTTTTGAAAAAAGCCCATAAAAGTTAACATACATTTGAATTGATATTGTTTCATGGTCGCATAGGTCTCACTTTAATAAATTAAGCCGTTAGTAAGTTAAATATAAGTAATATCTATTTTACTTTGGAAACTGTTCTTCAGAGTGAATTGGTTGGGGCCATAGCTAAGGCTTCCAACTGGAGAACATTTGGCCAAACAGCAGCTCTGATGTGTTGTGGATTTTAAAAACAAATGTGTTGTCTACTAAACAGTGGCTTACATTTCCCCTTGAAGGTGTGTTTGATTGGTTAATTTCTTTATGTAATTTCTATATTTTGTATATACAAGATTTTATACACTTGGTTTGATGGGACAAAAACACCCTGGTAAATGTGTGAAGCAGTTCGAGAGCTCAAGTATTATTTTGTGGAATCAAAATTATAGCACAGAAAATCAGTAACCATTTTATTCAACAAACATATAAAATAAAACTTTTAACAAGCCATACAGGATAAACCTGAGAGTGCCAGTGCCTGTGTGTGCTAAGCAGGGACTCGTTTGGAGTGTTGTGAATCCCATTCTCAGGACCAGCATCCTGGATGTGTGCAGAGATCAGGGTCCTGTCATTCCTTTCTGGCGAGTGAGACATCTTACCGGGCGGTGTGGTCCACGTTCATCGTCATTTGTTGGGTTTGCACGGCTGGCTGCCGTGTCAAATAGACGGCTGCCATGTCCTATGAAAGTTGGTATAAATAGATGCACAATTTGTTTAAAAAATTTTTTTTTTATTCACTCAATGTGAATGGATGGGTGACAACAGAACTTGTATGTGGATTTGTCTTTTGGGCTACTTTCAAATATTTTCATAAGTTATTTATGTGTTTAAATACCTAAAGGTACTCATGGTCCAGTTGCACCTCCATCAAGGGCAGACATCTCAGCAGACAGCGGTCTATCACTATGCTGTGAGACGGTGTCCCTCATTCTCCTCTGTGTTGTCCTCTGGGGCCACAACATCTCCAACCCCAAAGGCAGATGTTGTGGAGGACAGCACAAGCGGAATGGGACCTGACAAAGCTGCCAGTGCAGTATTATTAATGGATACAAGAACATAATGATAAATCCCGTATTTTGAAGTGAATTACAGGAAGTTGAAAAATGTTTGGAAAAGTTTGCAAAATGGTTATCACTTACATTTGGTGCGAAGGTGTGGTGCCTCCAGGGTGGGAAGAAGATGGCCCGGGGATCTCGTCTTCCATATCAAAGCCGGCTCATTATCTGGAGCATGCCCTGGAATGATGAGGTTTGAAGCGACGGGGCAGCCACACCATGCCACCGGTCAGCTTGTAGGTGAGTGATGAGGGGGAGAGGGACGCTGGTGGCTGGATACCTCCATGCGCCAGAGGAAGGCCCTGGAGGGGAGGCTATAGCCCTCTTGAGGTTAAGAGGGCTGTAGCGGAGGACCCTGAAGTGTGGGGGCTGACCCAAGGCCTGCCACGTAGATGTCCATGACAGCGGCCCTGACTGTGGTCTCACAGCGCTTGAGAATTATGCTTGGGATAAAAGTTTCCTATTCTGAAGATTCACCATCTGGGACACCTGGAGGCTTGATCGCGACGTTATGGGTGGGGCCACTCACATGCTGAGTGAGGCCAAAGGATTCAAGTATGGAACTCAGCTCTTTTGCGTATCTGTCATTAACATTATCCACATGAATATTAAAATCGCCTATAATGACTAAACCATCAAAATCTGTGCACACAACTGAAAGCAACTCAGTGAAATGATCAGTGAAACATACATATTTGAACAAATATTAGACAACCCTTATAATTAGAAATGTATTTAATGACTGCAAATAAAATAGTTAGCTCCCAAAGGTTTCACCGGGACGTGCTAGGCAGGTAACAGCTAAGCTAGCTAGCTGTTTCATGGTAACTTCCGGGTTTTTCGCGATCGCTTTTTGTCACTTTAAAACAGTATTTTTGTCATGAAAACGTTGACAGCAAATTCTGAAATCGTCCGTGCATGTGTGTTAAGGATGTATATGTATACTGTATTGTCCGATTGACGGTTAATGGTGTTGATTGATTGATATGTATTTGTTTATTGAGCGTGGCTAGCTCCGCTAGCTTCTCTACACAGACAAGTGTGCAGAAAAACTGCACAATGTAGTGACAGGCGCTGATAGCTTGTTGTACTTGCAAAGTAATGGCAGTATTTTACACACCTGAATTACAAACAGAAATTGCATTGGGGCTGCGGTCATTATTGGTTTGAGAGTTCTGTTATCAAGAAAAAATGATCGGAAGAATTGCATTCAAGTCAATGGAGTGCTGCTGCTGTGAGGAGCTGTATAATAAATTATAATTAAATATTAGAATATATTCTAATGTTTAAATTAATACATCCGGACGCGAAACTAATGGTATTCTTTTACTTATATATTGATTTAGCAGTGCGTTGCTTTAGTGCCATTTCATCAGTGATTGTTGTACAGCTTACAAGTTGCGCTAATGCTAATGTTAGCATAGTATCAGATCGCAAATAAAACTAGGTGGCTCCGTGTTATGAGAGCGTAGGGGAAATGAGAAGCCTGTGAGCGAGTTGGGGGGCGGTGCTAAACATTCAAACATTGTAGAAACGGGTATAGCGCCTTTAATGAATTAATTAACATGTTAATTGATTTATCACTTGATCAATCACTTTTTGAAAACAGTTGTCAACTAATGTAGTTAGTACAAACTAATTATTTTTTGAACCGCACAATGAAGTCAATACAAAGTAACTTACAGAACAACCGTTCTAGATAATAGACAATTGGAGTGTGTGTTTGAAAAGGCACACAGAGCGCTTCTCTCCCTTACACTAACGCCAGGCTCACACTGAATCTGTACATGATCCACCGCGACCGGGTCCACTACTGTGTGCAGTTCAATTTAGAGCCGTGGGACTCGGGTTCGTCTTATCTTGCAGTCAACGGAGAGGGATGAATCAAGCCCAGGGAGTGATGGGGGCAAACAGGAAGCCAGGTCTCACAGTATCAAGAACCCCCAGTGCTTTTCAGAATAACATCTGGCTGCTGACACTATAGCTTGGGCTTCCCATGATGTATGAAGCCCAAAAGGCAGTGAAACACAACAGATCAGAAGAGTTGCCTCACGAGAAGCAGCAACTCATAGATATTTAAATCGTATTAGGTACAGATGGAACTGGCTCAATCTATCTGTCCACACAAGCTGAAAACATTTCACCTGAGAAAGTGTTGTGTAACGCTAGGCTAGTAGCGGGGTGAACAATTAGTTTGACCAGAAGTAGATTCGGCCAAGGAGCCAGGGTGTGTGAATAAAACAAAAGACAAAATAAATTGCGTATAGTATATATATTGATTGAATTCACAGGTTCTATAAATATACATAGTTCCCACAGACCAATGAATGTCACATGACCTCCTCGGAGACGCCATCTTTGATGGCACGCTGCTGTGTTTGTGCATTCCATTAAACAGAAGAATGAGAATAAATGTAGATATTCAAACGCAAATTGGAAAAAAAGGGCAACTTTTGAGCAAATAATTGTATATTAATACAATGGCACCACAGTTTAACGTGCTACGGACATGTTTCACATATTTGATCAAATTATGCAGCAAAAATTTACAAGCAATGCAAACATTTCTCAAAAACTTTAGATTTAATACCAGTTGGAGCTCCATTTAATTATTTTAATTATATTAACAATTAATTTAATTAATGCTAATGCCACACGGACACTCTGGATTGCTGTTATTGTTTATTTCCGCGTTTTTGACCGTATGTTTTGGTGAATGGTGGGCAACTGATTTTTCCAGGCGTAAAGAGCAGTTTATTTTATGACACAGATCTTTTTACAGAAGCAATGCTGTTTGTGAACATTGTTTTAGCCCACCATAGAACTATTATTATCTATTTAATACATTTACGTTGCCCTCGAGAGCCTCGGACGCGACACCGATCCTCCTCATAATAAAGTAATCTAACGCTAAATAATGAAACTCTCAAGTTACCAGATATCAGCATACACAAGTTAGTACTGAGTAAATTACGTCTGTCAACACATTATAAGATACGATACGCACCTGACACAAAGTGCTCCGAGCATATTCTTGCGTGTTTTGAGGGAGTTTCTTGCCTGTTTATCTTCGCAAGCCATAACCTCCGTGGTTGTTCTGACAAAAGCTTAGTCTTCTCACATTCATGAAGTCTAATGATGGGTATACTGTAAAATCCAAGTTTAACAGAACCTCCGGCACGATTTGAACATCCATTGACCCAGCAGGAGATGACCATTTTCAACTTTATCACGACATTAACACGTTTCAGCTTCTTTTTCTATTGTTTTGCCCACAGCATGCCAACACAAATGGCGCCGGGTCGGCAAATCCCCGTATGTAGTGACGTCATGTAGGAACTATGTATAGGTGAGGTATGCGAAAAGGATATTATATTCTTTACATGTATTGCATATATATATATATATATATATATATATATATATATATATATATATATATATATATATATGTAATTGTTACAAATCAAATCACAATCAGCCAATAAATAGCTGATCAATATTCCACAGGTTCTTTGATTTAGGAACCTACATTTCAAAACAAGTGCACTTTAATTTCAAATTTGATTCATTAAACATATGCTCAAGTAATTCATGACACTCTGATATAATTTACTTGAGTAGAGATGAAAAATAATAATAATTAAAGCCGCAAGCGGCGTCGAACGGCCCTCGCCGCACCGCGCGACTCCCTGCACCGCGCGCACTCCCCGCACCACGCCGCCCTGCACCACGCCGTCCCGCACCACGCCGTCCCGCACCACGCCGTCCCGCACCACGCCGTCCCGCACCACGCCGTCCCGTACCAAGCCGCAACGCGCCGCTCCACAACGCCCCGCACTACGCCGCACCACACCGTACCACGCAGCACCGCTCAAAGGAGGTGGCGCCGCCGTGTGATGATTTGTTCCCGTAGTCATAGAAGATTGTTAGTCAAATTTGAATGAATATGATAAGTAGAGCTGGTTTGGCTCCCGATGTAAACTTTGGCTCAGTCTTTAGGGGGCGCTAATGGGCCAATTTCAAATATTTCACTTTCACCTGACCTAAACCCTGGAGTTGAACAATGGATTCAAGTTTAATGCAAATCAGACTTTGTTTGTGCAAACGGGAAAAAATTAATGTTGTCAAAAACGGCCAAAAAAACCCTCACATTTTGCCGCTTTGCTGCTCAAACAACGTTTCACTGATCAAAATTCCCTGAAGTCATTTTGAAGGTAAATGTGTTGAGATGATTTGGAACAATTTTGAGGCCAATCGGTGAAACGGCCGAGGAGGAGTCGCTTTCCAACCGACATGTATGAAAATGATTATTTTTCATTTTTCCATTTTGCAGTGAAATTTATGGGCTTTCTGTTTGTCAGAGGGCTTAGCCATAATAAAACAAGTTCAATGTCTTGACTTGAGGAACATGTGTTCCAAATTACATGGTTCTATGACAATTTTGACCTCGAACCCCTCCCATAGGCATTTTTAAATCGGCTGTTGTAGGTGGCGCTATAGAGCCAATTTCAAAATTTTAACTTTCAAATGACCTAGACCCAAGAGTTGAACCATGGATTTAAGTTTTGTGCAAATCAGACTTTGTTTGTCCAAACGGAAGCCATTTTTCTATTGTCAAAAACTGAAAAAAAATACGCCACTATTTGCCGCTCCGCTGCTCAAACAACGTTTCACTGATCATAAATCCCTGAGGTCATTTTGACGGTACATGTGTTGAGATGATGTGGAGCGATTTTGAGGCGAATAGGTGAAACGGCCGAGGCTAGTTTGATGTTTGTGTGAGGTGTACATTTGCAATGAATCTGGAGCGTTTGTCGTCGCCACGGCAACAGGGTAAAAAATAAGCCTTGGACCCTATTGACTTTTTGAATCAAGAGTGCAAAACAGATTTATGTGCAAAATTTCAAACATTTTGAAAAAACTAAATTTGAAAATGCCCATCTAAAACTTTGAAATAGT